CACAGGGGGCTGGGCACAGCTCCCGGGGCCGGGAGGTGGCAGAGGCAGGCTGTGCACTGAGCTGGCCTGGCTCTGGAGAACGCCTCCTGCACCTCTGCCTCATGCTTTCTCCAGGTGGCTGCGGGTGACCTCAGACATAGTGGCTGTGGAAGCAACGGGGCGGGGAGCGGGGGCAGGGGGTGGACCTTACCCAGACCGCGGCAAGATGAGCATTGAATGGAGAGCTTGTTAATCGAGAAAGATTGAAAGCATTTCCACGAGAAGCAAAGTAATGAGGTTCAGGCTTGTGGATTTGTTTTATCTGGATGGCAGAGTGAGAATAAACACCAAAGGATGGGCTAGTAAGAGTGATCTCTGGTCAAGTCTGTCTCAGATACCTGTTCCTTTGCAATGAGCTGAATGGCAGTTCAAGACCGAGGTGTCTAGTGAATGCCTGAAGGATGTATGTTTGGTGCTGTTTATTGAAGCAAGGTCAATACACTTTATTTTTTCTTTTCTGTTAGAGGGGGTACCAGGGCTTGAACTCAGGACCTCATGCATGCTAAGCATGCTCTCTAGCACTGAGCTATACGCCCTGCCCCAGTGATTTCAATATCAGATCCACATGTGACAGAATCGCATTTTACTACAAAATTCAAAGAAGATGAAATGTATTCTCAACCAAATTTGAGATCACTAAAGGTTGCCAAGGAGAGATCAGAATGTTTTGGTAAATGTAAAAAAATCTGAAGAGCTGTCTGAACTTTTCTTGGTCTGGTTCTGAATTAGTAAATAGGTCCCAGGAATCTGCACTGTTAGCACACACCCCAGTCGTTCTGATGCACAATAAACTTTAAGAATTCATTCCAGCTCCACAGTGCACTACATCTGTGACTTAGGGCAAATTACTCCATCTCTTTGTGTTTCAATTACTTCATTGTAAATGGCGATAACAATGTACCTACCCTGGAGATTTGTTAAGGGAATCAAATGAGCTAAATTTTTAGCTCACATCTAGCTCAAAGTATGCATTCTGTACATACTTGTTATGTAAAATAAACCACTTTTTTTTAAGGCATAGCTGGTTTACAATATTGTATTCATTTCAGGCGTACAACATTGTGATTCAAAATGTTTATAGATTATACTCCATTGGTAGTTATAACCTATTGGCTGTATTCCTTGGACAACATATCCTTGCAGGTTATTTATTTTGTACATAGTAGGTGGTGTGTTAAGGGATAATTAGCAAATATGAGAGTCTGTTTAACTTTAGAGAGGATGGAGTCCGCCTTGTTTGAAGACCAACTGAATTCTATCTTGTGATGATTTTCAGATGTTACAACCAAAAGGCTGTAGGGAGTAAGCAAATTAGGAAGAATTTCAGGGCAGAATTTAAAGGGCAACAAAAAATTTCTTCTGAAGCTTTTTTGAAGTTAAGATGACTGGCCAGAGATGGTAGAATATATGCCATATGTGCAGGTTACCATTTTACAGATCTGTGCTACAGGGTCTTCAGAATTTATTTAAATACTATATAACTCAGGACCCTCTTGGTCGCAAATAACAGAAACCCAGCTCAAGCCACATGAAACACATAAAAGGCGAGGAGGTTTATTGAATGGATGCTGGGGCAGCTATCAGAATTGAGTAAATAGTTGAATATTTAAATTTCAGGAATGCGAAGAATTCTCTGTCTGCCTGCCTCTCAGCTTCTCCCAGATCATCTTCCTCTGGTGGAAGACGCTGTGCCCGACAGGTCCGGGCTCCGATTCCTACAGCTCCACACACAAGGGGCAAATGGCTTTTCTGCCTTAAACCATCAGAGAGGGTCCTGGCCTGTTTGTGTCACGTGTCCCTCGGTGGCCCAGTCCCAGTGGTCTAAGGGGCGGGCTGCTGTGATTGGCTTGCACTGGTTTACAGGCCTGTCCCTGTGGCCAGAAAAGCAAGACTGCAGAAGAAGAGGACCTCTTCCATTCAGACCCCTAGGCCGGAGCCAGGAGGGAGGGGGTCGGTCAGAAACAGTCACCGGCTGCCCCGCACAGGGTTTACTGCAGACATGGCCGCTCGCCCCAGGACTGACAGCTCAGTGGGAGGGCAGAATGCGCCTGCCTCTGTGCAGGAAGTGCAGGAGCACGGTGCGTGTGCACCGTGGAGTCAGGGCGTGCAAAGTCGAGTGTCCGAGGGTCCCTGGTGAAGTGGGAGTCTGAGTCCTGTAAGAGGAGGGACTGTCACAGTGACCCACGAGGGGTCTCGTGCCAAGAGACAAAGATTATGTGAAAAAACCTCCTTGGACGGAAAATCCTGATTAGAGTCTTTGTAGTTTTCCGTTAAGTCCAAAGTAGTTGTTTACTCTGGAAAAATGGCGGAGTCACTAAAGGAATTCTAAGAATTACATCACGGGGGAAGCTAATAATGTAAAGATGCATATGAATAATTAGAAGGGGGGTGGGGGAGACAAGCAGAGAACCACAT